AAAAAAAAAAAAATGAAATAACCAAATGAATTATTTTCCATGCAATGCTAAGTGGAAGCAAAAATTCAAATTCAACAATCAATTCCCGATATTTAGGATTTTATAACATGAAAGAGTCGTTTAAACATCATTAATAATAATAATAATAATAATAATTAAGAAAATTAAAAATAAATAAAAAGATCCGAAAGATGAAGCTCTTACTTGTAGACAATACATTCACTAAAGAAATTCAAAAGAAAAAGGAAAAAACAAAAGAAAAAACACTGACCTGAAACACCGACATCATAGCCGAACATTAAACCTCCGGTGGCCGCCATAATACAAGAAATGATAACTATTGGCGTAATCTTCGCCTCGAACTCGGTGCCGCCCGAGACGGCAAACCCACCTCCGGCCATATCGACGAGCTAAATATTATGTTATGTATAAATATAATAGTATGCAAGTATGTGAGTATACTTCTAAAAACTTATAATTAAGAGAAGCAATGTAGTTAAGTGCTATGTGTTGTGAATGATATTGTAATTAATAGAAGGAGAAAGGGTATGGTTGAAATGAAATTAAGAGGAGAGGTTCTTTTATTTATATAGACAAAAAATGGGAAAATGTGGACCAAATAGTTTGGATATTTTGTTCGTCTTTCTTCTTTAGGGACAACAGCCGGCTATATTGATAAGTCAACTCACATCGCTTTACAGTCAATTGGAAATAAATTAACAAATCGATTTGTAAAAAGAAAAAAAAAAATATATAATAACGAAAAAATAAAGAGGGCCAGTTTTAAAAATTATTATGAATTTTGAGATTTATTTATTTTTTTTTTTGGCTTTGTTTTCTGTTTTAATTTTGGCATGCTTATAAAAAGCGTTCTTTAGCGCTATAGCATCTATATATATATAATTGCTGGCATGTAGCATTTAATAAAATATTTAATAAAACTTCTAAAATTTTCCCTCCATTTTCGGTTATAAAAATTGTCATTAATATTTTTTACATCTCACATTAATACATCTTAATGAGTGTAATCATGTATGTTTATATTATATTATATAATAATTATTGTTAATACCAACTAATAATAATTCACAATAAATATAAATTACATAAATATAAACAATTGTTTCAAGTTATGTATTTTAACATCAATATTATCTTTTTCTTTTGTATCTCATAAAAAAATTTCTTTAAAAACAATTAGTAAATTGTTTTAATAGCATAGTTAAACAACTTTAGAATCTTATAAATAATTATTTTTTAATAATATATATATATATATATATATAATTGCTAGCTTAGCATTTAATTTTACCTATTTAATAACACCTCTATTTTTTTTTTCTATTTTCAGTTACAAAATTTAGCATTAATATTTTTTTACTTCTCACATTAACACATCCTATTAAGTGTAATCATGTATTTTTCTATTATATTATATAATACTTATTGCTAATACCAACTAATAATAATTCACAATAAATATAAATTACAAAATTATAAACGATTGTTTCAAGTTATTTATATTAACATCAATATTTTCTTTTTCTTTTGTATCTCATGAAAGAATTTCTTTAAAAACAGTTATAAATTGTTTTAATAACATAGTCAAACAACTTTAGAAGCTTATAAATAATTGTTTTAATAATAGTAATAATAATAATAATAATAATAATAATAATAATCAAACTGTTATTATCTAATAATAATAAACAATTTTTCATAATAATAAAATCGTTAATTTATTTTTCCTAATAATCAAATTTTTGAGAATTTTAATATTAAATTCTCAAATATTACTGACTAATATTTTATGTACATCTGTGCATGTGCACAGGATATCTACTAGTAATTGATCAAACACACACAACATAGAGTTTTAAGAGGATGTTTGGATATAAATTATTTTTGGTTTTGTTTTGATTTTTTTGGTTTGGTACGATGAATTTTAAAAAAGCAATTTGGTTAGTTGTTAGTGGGGGTTTGAATTTATATTAAAATGACATTTAAAATAAAATAAGTAAAGTTGATTTGGTGGAAAAGTAGAATAGAGATGATGTGAAATGATGGTTAGTTAAAATTATGTGTGTAGATGAATAGTAAATTGGAGTTAATGTAATCTGTAATAATGATTGATTGATATTATTTAATTGTAATATTACGCGGCCCTTGCGGTGCACGGGAAAACTAATATTACGATTATATTATAACTTACATATATAAGTAACATTAATCACGATTTACCCATTATTTGCAGAATCGGACCAGACTAGACAATTTGATCAGATGGGTCGGGAAAAGGTTTATCGGCCTGTCTGGTTCATTTGAATAAAATATTTGCTAGCAAACGGGTCAACACCATCGATCAGACTGGTAGTATCGGTACGATTTTTTAAAGATATTTTGTTACATTTAAAATTATTTGTAATATAAATAAAAATTCGTATTTAAATAAAATTTAGATTTATAAACTATTTATCATTTAGTCTAAATGGAGATTCTAATTGTCTTTTATCGTTTACTAACAGCTGTCCACAACACAAATCGGAATCCGTAGTACCTATATAAGTGAAGTTCTAATAAAATATTATTTTGAATCAATTTATAAAAATAAAGGGAATTTAAAAAATTACAAAATTAATAACATTGTTAATAAAAACAATAAACTATCAACGTGTATTACATAATAATCAAACAAATACTAATTAAGAATGAAAATATAACTTGAATAAAAAACTACACATTTGTTTTACTAAGCACATAAAATCCATATAATGGATAGCATATTATGCAACTTATATGAATATTGTAAAGCAACACAATTAAATAAAACATTGGATCACATTTACTAAACACATAATTGTACCAAAAAACCGGGTCAATAATAAAAATAGTGCAACTCAATTCTTGTTGCAAAAAACAATAAAGTTTTTTTTGGATCAATACTAAAAATAGTGCAACTCAATTTGTATTGCAAAAAACAACAAAGTTTGGCCCATTTACATTAATGAACCAATCCATTTTTTTTTTCACTAAAACTAGCCCATTAAACACTGACGGCGCATTTGACAGACATACCGGAGCTGCTGGAGGAGGGAGCATGATTAGGGATCATGGAGGGGCACTCATTTTTGCCTTTCATGGACCACTCCGCGCCTCCTCGAGTTATGATGCGGAGATTCAGACACTCCAGATTGGTCTTGAGATTGCCGCATCGATCTCCTCCCGTATCTGGATAGAGATGGATGCTGCAGCTGTCATCACACTTTTGACATCTGGCCACCAGGGTTCATGGCAGATCCAGCATCCCCTTATGCGCATCAGAGACACCCTTCCCTCGATCCATTACCAGATCTCACACATATTCTGAGAGGGGAACCGTCTCGCCGATTTTCTTGCTAGCACGGGGGCATCTATACCCCAGAGACGCATCCTTCACCCAGAGGACATCCCCATCTGGCTTCGGACCCTCATTCGAATGGACCAGCTTCAGTACCCATCCTTCAGATTCGGACGACCGCCACCACATGATCCTGACTAGACTTGTCTTTTTGGACTTCATGCCAGGACACCTTGACCAGGATGACCTTTCATGAGGACTAGACTTTAGATCCAGATCGGATATTTTTTTATCATTGATATTTTGGTTTTCGACTTTGATGATGTTCTATGTACTTATCGACATTGATGTAGACCCTTGACTTTTTAGCCCTCTCTGGGCCATTATATTCACAGGTCGGGAGTGTAGCCTCAACCTCCCATCCCACACTGGGATGCTTATATAAAAAAATAAAAAATAAAAAAAATAAAAAAAAACCAACCAAATAAATCAAAATTTGGGCCGAATAAATAAAAAATATCCAGCCTAAATCAGCTCCAATGCCTCAATTATGAAAGCCATTTTGTTTTAATACGAGTAATCCAAATAAATAAGTAACAGAATCCTTTATAGATGATATCGGATTTGAAGGGAATTTTTCATAAGAAATTTGTACCACAAATAAGTAATTCAAATCTGTGCTATACATATTTAAACACACGAAGATCAAATGTCATTTAAAATTTGAATTTAAATCAGATTTCCAAAATAAGTAAGTCAAAGGTTTAGACTCATTTCTTTAATGAACTTTTCACAAATGATTTTTTTATCAACCTCTTCCAATATATATAGATTGATAATATTAAGGATAGTGAAGTTGGGTTAAAGGTACGTTAAAAATGGCGACGCGTTAAAAATAATTAGATTTTTTTGAAAAAATTTGCATCCAAGGATCCCCAAGTTTTTACTTTTAATATGAAAAACATATGCTAATTGGATATGACATGGTATTTTGTATCTTTTTCGCTATATTCCCATTTAAGTGTTGAAATAACACATATATATATATACAAAAAAGCTTTTTACTTTTTTAATATTTCATTAGAGTCGTGTTAACAAACAATGAGAATAAAAACTTTTGATATTAGTTTCGAGCTAAAACTTAAAATCAAATTATTAATTTACATCATTGTATTTTGTTAACATAAATAAAATTAGCTAGGTTATGAGCTTCATTATTTAATAGTCATATTAAAACGATTAAATTATATTTTTGTAAGGAATCATACTTAAATGTTATTATTTGAACTAGTACAAGACCCGTGTGATGCACAAGGTGGACTGTATTATGGCTATTTACCCAGCCTTATTATTTTCGTTAATAAATAAATAAAAAAATAGAATAAAAAACCTCCTTGTACATAGCATATTTTGACTTGTAGGCACACCATCTCTGTTAGTATATGTGTCCTAGAGACAATCATTTTAAGGACATATATACATGATCACATTAATAATTATATTGGATTATAATTATGGTATTGCAATTAATTAAATAATTGTTTGATTGTTTGCAATTTATTAATTAATTGCTCCCTTGAGTTGATAATGTCATTAGCAGAGTGAGATGTTAATTGATAAAGTATAACTCTAAAATCGCCTCAATCGATGATCATTAAGAAAGGGATATTAATGATACGCGATAGATTGACATGTGGTCTGCATCATATTCTTAGAGAATATAGTATGTCTCACTGCTATGAATAATTGTTATTCGTGATGGACACATGGATAATTTGGAGAGTATTGGCATACCCTACCGATAAACCATTTGTTTATGTGTCTATGGGAGTATCGGTGTGTAGAATGGTGTAATAATCCTTTGACTTGAGGTCAATACGCAATTCATGTATAGAGTGATCTACTTAGACCTAGTCCAACGCATACGCCCTTATGGGTAGACACAGGCTCGTGTTGGGTAGATCACGATATACATGAGATTGGTAGTTGAGCCAAGATAGGATTCATTCCTCGAATATAGTTTCGAGAGAACACTCGTTTTCTCTATACTGGGTTGATAAAGTC